TATATTTATAGAGTGTTTTTAGTCACAGTAAATTTGACTTAGCCCACCTGGCTGAGGGCTGACCTCCTAGCCACAGGACGAGGAGGCTGTCCCAGGGTCCCCCTCATTCAGGAAGAGGAGGGACCAAGTCAGCTGTAGAGCTGAAACGAGCTACAGGAGGGGTGCAAGAGATGTGTACAAGGGAGAGAAGGGTATTACATACAGTATTTATAGTTTTTATGTGAGTAACTTACATCAGGAATTATTAGAATTCACTGACAGCGGATTTAACTTGACTTTTGTTTACTTGCACATTGTCTATTGCTTGTTTGTACATTGTTTGTACTTTGTCTTGATGCACTGTTTGCACTTTGTCTTGTTTTTGACACTTGTTTTACAATCGAGAGACTTTCTGTAAGTAAGAATTCCATTGTACCAGTACCGGTTACATATGGCAATAAAGTTCAAGTACAAGTTCAAGTTCCTTCCCAAACTCTTATAATGAAGTTAGTTTCATTAAACTTATAATGAAGTTAGTTTCATTAAACTTATAATGCAGTTAGGTTCATTAAACTTATAATTAAGTTAGTTTCATTAAACTAACCAACAGTGCTATCTGCCATAAATTATTTTTGAATTAAAATTGTGGTAGTGGTGGGATGTGCCAGTTACAGGCAGACAAAATAAATAAAAGCTCCATTTCAGAAAAGTACAGCAGGCTCATTGCTGAAAATCACTTTGCCAATCCTGTAGAAGTTGAACTTGAGTAATTAGACTGAAGTAAATCAGTATTAAAGAACTGTATCACAATAAGAGTATGAACCATATTTGGTGTCATAGGTACAGTAATTATCTACTGAAATTAATTGACAAACATTATAATTAGATTGGGTTTCCAAATGTTGTTGTTTCTGATAAGTATACCATTGTTTTCAACCTATTTTAATTTCAAATAATGTGTTTTCCTATACTATAGTATTTTCTATACTATACTATAACATTTTATGTTAAGGATCAACATCCAGTGTTTGCTTGCATAATACTCTGAGAGTGAATGAATTCTCTCAGAGATATTTAGAAACACCAAATAGCTACAGTATGTGCAACTAGGGGTTGTTTGTAAAGGATATTCGGTGCTTAAAATATCTCTAGACTTTGAGAAACACATGGGAAAGGTATGTGTATCTGATAAAGGAAAATTGTTGTGCTACAACACTGTGACTGAAAAGCTTGTAGGGATACAAGGTGTCACAGCACAGATCAGTCTAGTTTTGAAATAAGTTTATTTTTGAACATCACTCCAGAGATGAGCAGAGATGGTTCTCTGAGAGGCAAGCTCTGAAGAATAGGCCATAAGTTTTTATAGCTTTGATCACAGCTTGTACAGACTCTTGCTGTTACCATATATGTGATTTCAGGATAATGACATTCAGAATAGATATTTGTGTACATTGCCAACAACACAAAAGTACAGCTACCAAGCATTCCTTAGCTAAAACAAGGACTGCCAGAGGTGCACGACAAGTGTATTGTGGGCTTTTATAATGTAAAGGAACTACTGTATATGCAACTGAATCCTACAAGCTCAGTATTATTCAATAGAATTAAATTGACTAATGCTCAGATCATTTCACCTCAACAAATGTATGAAACAATAAAAAACACCCATCACTTAAAACATATACTACAGTATGTTACCCAAACCAATGGAATGTTGCAACACATGTGCAGCAGACAGTCATTAGTCAAAAGTCTGTACTATAATACTTTAGGTTTTAACTTTATTGTACTTAATGGGAATAACTTTCAGCTCTTCTCGAAACAAGGTCATTTTATCACATACCAAAGAATGATTTTCAGTCTTCATCACCACTTCCCTCCACTTGACACACAACACTATTATGTGCCCTCAGTCCCACTGCATAGCAGATCAGGTAGCGAATGAGAACCTGCTTCACAATGTGAATTAAGGTGGAGCTTTAAGTAATCCAGATTATACATCCCAACTCTGGAAGCATGTCACATTCTGGTCCAGCAACACCACTTACAGCAACTATCTGGCTTTCCTTAAGTTCTCCCATTCCATTTCTGAGCAGACCTTGCGTAGTTGTGAGATCTGCTGAGATCAGGCAGCAGGTGGTATTGGGGCTTCTCTCAAGCAGAAAGCAATCAAAACCCATCCTTCTATGTACTGTACAACACTGTGCTTAAACTACACTTAACCCTAATGTGGATGGGTTCTCAAACACTGGAAACATGCCAAACCAAACTCTTGACTGCAGAAATCAAAGTTCTAATATAAAATGCCTGAATGAGCGTGTAAAGAGAAGAAAAGTTAGGTCTATTCTAAAACAGAGGCCTGGGTTCAACCATACCTCAGGTTGCCAGTGAAGCCGAGCTGTTTGAGCTGTAGGATGGTTTCCTGCAACAGTGCCTTATAGACTGGTTCCTATCTCACCTAGAATTATGACTGGTCATGAGCTGTTGGTCCAGGTCTGGTTTGTAGGAGTATACTTGAAACCATAATGAAGTTCAACAATGGAATATAATTGAGAAAGCTCTGTGTTGCCAAAAAGGCCGATAACCAAATGTTAATTTGAAAGTCGAGGGGGATTTGACAATGTACTGTGATCTAGTACTTCTAGAATTGTTTGCAGAAATAATAGACATTTTGTACAACGGTCTATATGCACACCTTCCTCATTTTCAAAAACTCAGATGACAAAATCGTGATTTTTGCAGTTCCATGCACACTTTTCATTTTAATCTCTATTTCTTCCCATCATCCCAAGCCTCTTTCACTAGCCGGGTCAAGTGTGAGCCGAACTCTTACGCATACTCCTCTTGGGATCTATGGCCTTGTTGCAGAGTGTGCATGAATTATTAAACACCTCAGAGCTGAAGTGAGCCTTGAATTGTAGGACTACTGACTGCCAGCCTTTGCCAGGACCTTGAGTGTCACTCCTGCCACCTCATTCCCTTTTCATCCACTGCCCTCTGTTCAGGAATCCACCACATACCCCCTCGTCCTATGGAGATACAAGCTTTGGCCTTGCAGATAACTTTAGCAACCCAGCATGTCTCTTTCTTGTTTCCTCTGGTAAAGTTTGTTCTTATTAGCCTTAAAAGATTAAAGGCCTCCTTCCTTGAAGGTAGGTATCAAGGCTTTCTGGAGGACAAAGCCAACATCTGCATATCTGTACCCAGAGATAATACTTGTGCAGTGCTCCTACTGCAATGACACCTGCTATTTTGTACTGGATATGTGTGTGTTCAAAGAAGCCTGTGAAACATAATGTTTTTTTTTTATAATTAGCAGCAGCTATTTTAGTATGGGGGTGATGAGAAGCATCTAGCTCCCGTGTCCTTCAATTACAACACGTATTCTTATTCTTGGCGATTGTGTTTTGCGATTTACTAAGTAACGATGCGAATGTTTGTAAATAAGTAATTGTACAGGTATCAAAACTTGTTTAATTCCTAACCTACCAACAATGTTTCATGCCTGCTGTCGGTCTTTTTTACAGCCCCATTTTCAATGTGATCAGCCCAGTAAAATCTTTACAGATCTTTTGACCTATTTGGACAGAAAATACGCCAGGAAAGAGTGACTTAAATCAAGCTTTCTTCAGCGTAGTTCTAAAACATCTGCTCATGAGACAAAGTCGGCATCCACGTTATGAGTGTTAACTTTTCAAAACAAGTTCCGTTCGTTTAATACGTTTTTCAGTTTTCAATATATAAGCAGAAACCAGTCGAAGGAAAGATTCTAATTATGTAGAATGTTTTCACTGTTGAAATGATACTGCGTAATTGCTCCTAAGTGTTCAGCTGCGCAGCACACAGCTTTATATACAGTACATTCATCATGAAAAATGAGAAGCTGGGACTCGGTTTTTCCGTAGTGTAAGAAAGCCCATGACTACTACTGAATGAACTGAACACAGGGAGGGGAAATAATGGCAGGGGGAGGAAAAGGAAACGGAGCTCAGTAAAAATGAAATGAAAACAAAAACAGGAGGAAACTACGAGAGCTGCTGCCGACAACACTTTCGCCTCTCGCTGGTGCTGTCCCAGTCTAACTCCACGGACAGCAACTTCTCCGTCCACCAGAGCACTGCCCGTCCAGCTCTCCACTCACAATCCGGTGGAGGAATTCCGTCAAACGCCCAGGAACCGTGCTCCAAGTCCACCCGAGGGCTGCAACCTCATTAAAAAGACGGCGCGCTGCCTCTTTAGTTTATAACGCGTGACGTGCTTCTTTAACAGTCCGCGCATCCTGTTAACTGACAGACTGGCGAGGGAGAAGGAGCCCCAGTCCTAGCGCTACCAAAAAAATCAGTTTCCTCTGATACCTCAAACCAGACTTCCTTCCACTGTATACATACTTCTGAAGCACCGGGGGTATCGACACGCTATACAACCGGCAGCCTCTTCGGCACGAACATCCAAACAAACCCTGCAGAGTGAGCGCACAAAGTAGCTGTGCAGTTGATGCGTTACACGCTGGTGGCGAAGGATCTGCACTTTCTCTTTCATCAAACGCTAAAATCACTGCACCTCCTTAAGAGCCGAAATGCAGTCAGACACATTCTATAGCCTCAGTTCTGATTATAATTTAATTGCCTTTGTCTTAGCTTGTACCTACAGGCTACAGTGATGTCAAATGAATAAACAGATCCTTGCGCCACCAACTGTATCAAATTTTACTGAACTGCTATCTCATTTATATTTCTATAGATTCTACTAACTAGCTTCATAATGACCACAGAAATATTGGTTTGACAGGGTTCTAAGATATATTACATTTATTGCACTCACATCACATACAGTATTTCTTGGACAATTTCTAAAGGGATAAAAAATAAACTAGCATACCGTTCTCTGAACCTAACAGACTTTGCCCCAGACACACTTACTGCCCGATGCGTTTCATGAAATCTAGCTGGGGAAAAAAAATCACTTTCACACACACACGCGCGAATGCGAGAAACACGATTCGTAAATGCACATTCACGTACCTTTTCCTCCTTAATTGTCCAAGACTGAAACTCAGATGGCAAACCAGGCGTGATATTATCCTGTTCAGATGGATGATGTGTCCGAAATACAGGAGTCTCTTAATACCGGCAACGCTCGTCTAATTGTAAACACATGAATGATAATGAGGTGGACAGAGGGATCTGCGGTCTTCTGTCGGTTAGGTCCCCTTGTGTTCTGCGTACGCGCAGAAATCTGTAAATCGGTGTAGCTCTCTGTATTTTCTCTCGCTTTCTCCTGTGTCAGAGGCGGCGCGGGGAGACGCGAGAGCCCTCGTTCCTGGTGCTCCCCATGGCTGAACGGCTCATTCACGTTTGCGGTGAGGAGACAGGACTGCGAGGCAGAGGCAGTGATGCTGCGGCGCTCGGCGGTCCCCTGAGACGAGAGAGAGAGGGGGAGAGAGAGAGAGCGCGCACGGCGTGGAGCAGAGGTGCATACAGGCTGGACGCAAAATACGGGCCTGGATTGCTCTACTTAAAAACGATCAGCACCGGCCGCAGCGCGGACAGCGCACAGCTCGCCGCGCTCCTGACTGGGCGTCAGCTGGGCGCTTCAGATAGAGAAACGGATCTGTTTCTCTTCTGACCTCTTCTCTCGTGTTGCGTGAGTTTATCACCAACCGAAAGCTATGTTTACATATTTCTGCTCTAGAGCATTACATATGCCTTTTTAAAAAAAAAAAACACGGGATTGTAGATACAGCACAAAACACAGCTTGTCTCTTGACTAGGCTACACTGCGCTGAAGCAGTTGCACGTTTTTTGAGTTAATTCAGGAATTGAGGACGAGCACTGATTCGAATTTGTTTTTCTGTGACATTGAAAAGGAAGGACAAGCACAAGGTAAGAGTTTGTAGAGATATACAATCGTTAATCAGAGCATTTTCAGTCATTCCCTTTTTGGCAAAAAAGCTTTTTGTTTGAAAACATGAATGAAATAAAACGAGACTATATTTACAGATACCTAGATGGCTTATTGTATGCACACAATAAAACAGAGTAGCCCAGAAAAGTCAGCGTCACGTTCCTGGTTGTGTAGGTCTCTAAAGAGGGGATTAGCGTGCTATTTGATATATGGCGAGAAAGAAAAATCCCGTATTACCTTACATTCACAAACACTTTGATTTCGAACCTATAACAATTTAAAACGTTTTGGTGGTTGTCCGGAAGGCGATCCTACATAACTGCGCCGATAAACCTGCGCTCAAAATGAGTTTGCAAAGAACGTCGCTGAACGAACAAACGTCTGATAACGATTTGTGTCTCCAGAGACTTCCTTCAAGTCAGCCTGATATCAGAGAACAGAAATGAAACCTAAATACACGACAAATTAAAGCAGAAGAACTTTAAAGTGTTGAAGCTGAAAAAGAGCCGTGTGTGTATGGGACTCGCTGCGTTCAGGCTCTGAGTTCAAGCGGTGGTTCTGACAGTCTGTGGCATCCTGACCCACTTAATTCATTTCCCCCGATCTTAGAGAAGCAAAGCGAGCTTCGTGTGCCCGAGACCGCCGCAGTTATCCCCAAGGGCAGCTGAACTCAAAGATTCTGCAACTCGCTTTGGATAAGATGGCCTGCTAAACAACTCATTCCTGTTGAGCAAAAACTGTCTTGAAAATTTAGCAAATATTTTTTTCTCCAGGTTCTCCTCGTTTTCCACATTTTCTACATATTTGATTGTACGGCCAACTGATAACAAGGTAAACGGGGGGAAATGCAACTTCATTTTTCCCGATTTCGTTTGAAAATCAATGACTGGACAGGCTAGCTCATGTGAGTGAAGTGCCTTCAGAATAATTTGCGAAGTATTTTATGTACTCCGGAAAGCCCCGTGAAATAATGGTTTCAGTACCAGTAAGGTAATAGCTAGTTATTCGGACGTTTCTTGTATGAAACAAAAGCATTTTAATGAATCAGTTTGGAAAGAAGGCATTACCCACTGCACTAGGTGACGCCAAGGGAGTCAACAGACAATGATTTGAACCCGGGACCGTCCGAAGTGCTTAACTACCCTGATAGCCTGATGAACATAATGTCTCTGCTTATTTTTCTGCTTGCATATATATAGGATTCAGAAGTGGGGTTATCTACAGTACCTGATAGATTAATAATAAAAACGAACGCAGGGACATGTGGTATTGTAAACCAGACGAAGGATTATACGTCTGGATGAGACCCAGCAGCCAACATATTCATAAAAAGCTTGGCTTTAATGCCGAATATGGAACCTGAAGCCGTGTTTAACACTCGCCTTGCGTCTGAAACCGGCGTCGAATTGTCAGCCTGGTGATCCATATTGAATTTATCACAGGTTGCAACCAATATAATTTAATCCCCCCCCTCACCTAAAAAAAAGTAAAAACGAATACTTCTCTGGAAACTATTTGAAGTACTGACAAAAGTAACATCCTGCTTTTAAAAAAAAAAGCCAACAGTTTTACGGACTACAAAAGAAAATACTGTCCAATCTGATCCTGGATTCGTTAAACAACGACTTTTAGTTTTTGACGAAAACATATCGCTTGAAAGAAGGGCTTGGAACGGTTTCAAACTCTCAAATGAATTCTACCTATCCATTTGCTGAGTGCTTTATCCAATTCAGGTTTGCGGGAGAGCTGGAGCCTATCCCACTAAGCAACGTGCGTAAAGCAGGACACACCCCGGACGTATGCCAGTCCATCAGGGCATATACAGACACACCTGCGGCCAATTCAAATACCAGTATATCTTTTGACCTTGCTGTCCTAAATATTGTGTATGAAAATACAAATACTACGTTCAATCCAATACAGAGCCTGTCTTTAAGATAGCGGCGCTGAACTAGCTGAATAATACCGTATAAACTAACGCAGGGAGATGCGATATTATAAAGCAGTGGTAGGGGGATTATTCATCTGGATACGACCCAGATGCACAACAAATCCAGTTCAGATCCAGTTCACAAAAAAATCTGATTTGTGGTGATTTGATTTATTTAATTTGGCAGATCACTAGGCAGTCAGAAATAGTGCACGTTTTGTATTTCAGACTAGCACGCCAATACATGCCTTAGTATACAGCTGAGACTCAGGAAATCATTTTAATTATTTATAAGAACATAAAAATCTAAGAAACATCATAAACATGAAGCAGCCATTCGGCTTATCTTGCTAAGAAGGAAAATGATACCGTAAAGTTTTTCTCACAGGACACGAGAACCAGATTGATTACCATAGTACTCTTACTTTAAATGAAAACGTCTTGTTCTTAAATCCCAGAGATTCACCAGTTGAGGCTCTTGAAGTGGTAAAGACTAGGCACAAAGACAGTTGGCTGTTTGGGGTGTTTCTTTGTTAAGAAGGAGAACAGAGGTGGGTTCCTACAGTATGTTGTGCTGTCAAGGAAAATCCGTCGTACCTTTGCTTAAAAAGGTGCTAAAATAATATACATATATATCAGGAAGACATCAAATATAAAGCAGTGGTAGGGGGATTATTCATCTGGATACGACCCAGATGCACAACAAATCCAGTTCAGATCCAGTTCACAAAAAAATCTATTGAAAGTTTTTGTTTTCTTCTGTGTGGCAACCTCAATTTAACCTTGAAGGAGCTCAATTTGGACTCCGCGTCACCCACGTTCAATCTAGGTCGCTTTCTTCTCGTTCGGCGCCGGAATCTCATCTCGGAGCCACAGAACTCCATTGAAATGACCTCGAGGGTCTGCTGGGAAATTCGATGTTCCGCTTGATCTCGCTCTCGTGCAGGTGTCATTTCCTCAGCGCGCCTCACAAGCAGGGGAGCCCCCTGGTCCAGAGTCTGTGTACTGCACCGCCGCGGCTCCTGGTCGATCGGCGCTGAAGGCTTTTCACTGTCCTTCTGTTCGGCTCGCATAGCTCTAAGGATGTCTTTATTTTTCTGCTTCCCCTTTCTTTAAAAAAAAAACTAGCTTTTCACATACTGAATTCTGCAAGTGCATGACTGACTGTTACTAAGGCGCTACATGACTTTGAAATGAGACCGAGCTGACGGGATCACAAACAGCAAAGAAGTAGCCTACACAAGCAGTTCAGAGCATGAAAGGAATAAATGAATGAATTAGAGGATGCGATCGTTAGAAATAGCTCCCCTGTACGTGGCTGGGTTCGTTTAAAGCGCAACTCACGACAGGATTATTCCGGCTGGGGTTGTTTTTACCTCTGGCTACTGATTCCCCTCTGAAGTGCCGCCCGAGAGCCGGTGAGCGTCCTCCAGCCGCTCTGAAGAGCCGAAGGCGGCGGCGGCCTTTTATTCTTCGCCCCCTCGAAGACCCTTCGCTAGGTCTGAAGCCTGAATTGATCCATTTTCAAGTGCTCTTTTGCAAGTTTTGCTCGGCGGTTTAATTTTTTTTTTCCATTTATCACCAGGGATGGAGATGTACAAGGGTTCGGTTTATGGGCTTAAACCTGGCGACAGAGAACGAGAATGAAAATACATTTTCGTGTTTCAGAATGTTTCCGCGTCCTTGAAATCCTATCGTGTCTTGATGGAGGCGCAGATCGTCCTAAACATAATGTTGGGTCATGTACTGACTATGGACACTGTCAACCCGCCATGAACACGGGGGTCTCCAGCGACTGAAGACTGAAAAGTGGGGGCCTCCAATGACGTCATCACTATTGGAAGAAATGCAACTTATTTGCACTTTTATGCAAAGAGTACTGGGAATGCGTAACCCCTTGACTCCTCAAGAAGCAGATGGATGACATATTTGGACACCGATCTTCCACCAGCCCTTGGAAGATCAAGACAGACTGGATGTTTTTTTTTTTTCTGATTGGAAGAAATATGTACCGTATTGTAACGCATACGGCCGACATTACAGGTTGTGCGAGCCGGCTTGCCAGTGCGGTGACATCACCGCCCTTCCCTGTGAATAGCAGGGACCACAGCTGTCGGGCTGAAGGGAGATTTTGAGTGACGCCAGAGGCCCGGGTTCAAGTCTGACCTGAAGCGGCAGCGGCGAGGGCACATGCTCACGTGAACCCGAGAGCGCTACAGTATGTTCTGAAGTCTAGACTCACTCATTGAGAAAAGCGCCGTGTCTGTTTGAGGCGGTCTCCGGTTTGCTGGGAAAGGTGTTTTAAGTGTTACATTAGCTACAGCAGTGGTAGTATCAGCTGCCTTGCATCATGATGCAGTGAGTAATGCAAACCAGCGATATCAACGTGTCAACAACACTTAAAGAACAAGGAGGAAATGACAACTGTATGGGTTTATAATGACGCCCTTACCTTGATGGCGTATTTTAAATTGCCGTGGTTCAATTTTATGTTGATTTTTTTCTCTTCAATGATTTTGCTTATTTTGTAATCCACAGTGGCTGAAAACTGTTTGAGCTGCTGTCTGGCGGGGGCGAATTTTGCCCTCATAAACAAAACACCTTCTTAGGCAGCTGAGGCATTTTCGAGGATGTGAGAATTACTCAAAAAAGATTAAATAACACTTCTCTGCACATACTGACAAACTTTGTGCTGGTAGCAGAATTAAACTGCCAACTAGACGTTTCTAAACCAACGTGTAGTTTCAATGTATGCTGTGATTTGGGTATCATGAAATGTTACCCTGTAGTGTCAAACATAAAGACTGAACAGATGATTAAAAAATTGTCTTTGATTAACAACAAATATTATAATTACTGCTAACAATGAAGTAGTTCTGTATAGCTAGTCAGTTAGATCCGTGGTATACAGTAGTTAGTATTACTGTCTTGCAGTGCTGGAGCCCTGGGTGCAATTCCAGACCTGAGATGTTATCTGCATGGAGTTTGTTCTCTCTGTGTTCTCCTGGGTTTCCTCCAGGTGCTCCACTTTCCTATACTGGTAGGTGATGAGCCTTCTGGAAAAATCTAACCTGGGCTGTGTGTCTGTGATGGACTGCTGTCCTGGCCAGGTC